AGTTAAAAAAAAAAAAACCTCTCTGATGCACTCCCCTTCTCTGTAGAAGACATTTGCTTCATTGACATCTGTTGGATGTCAACACCAACACTTACCCTACCTGCCAGGAAGGATGGTGTTTTGCAAGGTCAGCCCTTTCCGCTTGAATTTTGCTCAACCAGCAGTGGATCTAATTCTATCTACAGGGTTAACTGCTGGTGGTAGAGAAGGACTTGATTCAGGATTCCTGGATTAAAATCTAGATTGTCTGAAATAAAATCTAGATCCCTGGAAACAGTTTTCCTAAACTGGAGTTCTCAGCTGTCAGTACTTTTACATGTAAGGGGAGACCGAACTTCTGCACTGTTTTTGCAGGCACTCAAAGCGTTTCTTTTAAACCCACTTCGCCATACTCATTCTTGTCAGGGAAGCAATATGCTGTTTGTCAGCTTCACATGAGTTCACTTGACCTCTAGAAAACTTAATATGAAAATTACAGTTTTATTCTTGATGTAATTACAGAAGAAAAGCCTCCTTGGAAATATTCAGAAGCCATCTGGACACTTTCCTGGGCAATTGGCTGTAGGTGTCCCTGCTTGATCAGAGGCGTTGGATCAGATGACCTCCAGAGGTCCCTTCCAACCTCAACCATTCTGTGATTCCATAATTGCAAGTATAAAATATGTTACAACCAATCTTTTGTCTTAACTTTCACTTATGCTGCAATTTTATCACAACTTAGCCACAATTCACCGTTCACCCCTACCTTCCTGTTCTCCTTTCTCTCCCTTGTGCTACCACCGGTACATGCCTCAACCTGGGGTGATCCAGTTCAAGAAAATAACATTTTTTCTGCTTGTTTTCTGCTTGTCCATGAAAAAGTACTCTGTGGATCAAATGAGCAACAACACCAGCATAGGAGAGAAGGGAGGAGGCAGGCAAGGATAATTTATTTAGGTATCACAGCCTTGGGCATGCTCTGAGGTTTCTTTTGGCTATAGTAGGCAGGAGCCAACTCATCAGCAGTATACCTCTAAAATGCCATCTCTAGGAGTGGGTTCCCTTTCAGTAAACCTGTATTCAACTTGGAGTTTTCCTGGTTGCTATTGGATATGCAGAAAATGTCAACAAGAATTTGAAGAGCCCTCTGTTTCTCTTGGAACACCGTATTTCTCTATCTCATGATCTCTCTCATTATGCTATGATTAAAGGTATGGATTAATTGCTCAGCATCTGTGAGAATGAAATAAAATAATGTGATACCTACCTGAGACTGCCCCTCCAGTGAACTGCAGAGTCCTGTTTCTTCCCCTCTTTTGCCTTAGGAATTGAAATTTGGACATATTTCACTGTAATTTCACTGATTTTGAGAATCACGTATCATAAAAATGTTCCTTCTGTGTGGAAATTTCAGCTTCCTTTTGGGATTAATGGCATCTTAAATGTGTCACACTGTAGTGGTTTAAACTCAGTCAGCCATGAAGCCCACATGCTCACTCCCCCCCTTCCTCCCCCCCGGCTCCCAGAGGAATGGGAAGGAGAATCAAAAGAATGTAACTCCCATGGGCTGAGATAAGAACAGCCCAGCAACTAAGGTATAACACAAATCACTGCTGCTACCACCAATAATAATGATAAGGGAAATAATAAGGGAAGAGAATACAACCACTCACCACCCACCGACTGATACTCAGCCCAACTTGAGCAGTGATCTAGCCCTTCCAGGTAACTGCCCCCAGTTTATATAGTGGGCATGACATGCTGTGGTGTGGAATACCTCTTTGGCTAGTTTGCGTCAGGTGTCCTGTCTCTGCTTCCTCCCGGCTTCCCCTCCTCCCTGGCAGAGCATGAGACTCACAAAGTCCTTGGTCAGACTGAACATTTGAGCGGTAACTAAAAACATCAGTGTTATCAGCACTGTTCCCAGGCCGAAAGTCAAAAAACACAGCACTGCACCAGCTACTAAGAAGGAGAAAAATGACTGCTACTGCTGAACCCAGGACACACATGATGTGATAACACCACAGGTTTAGTTTCAGAGGCAGTGTGTCATGCTGCCTCCATGTCCTGTTTGTACTCTTTGAAACATTGCTGGGTCTTTTGACTTTCAGAGGCTTGAATACTTCCTTCTCTTGCAAAGGGCCAAACTGGAACACCTTGTTCTCCAAATATTGCTATTAAATTCAAAAAGTGCTAATGGCTAAAGGAGGTACAACTCAATATTACTAAACAAATGACAATATATCCTTTACCTCTCAAAATACAGGAACCTGCTACAGTGCTGGCTACAAAGGTGTCAAAAGAAAAGATGCTTAAAAAATCTGAGTACTGGTACATAACTGATCAGAATCACCCTTAAACATAGCGAAACAAAGTAGCTTTTTCATGTTTTATTTTATAAAAATGGTAAAGATCACCACCACCACCAATAATATGATGTTTTACTCTTTCTGAGAGTTTTGCAAAAAAGCAAGGAATGAGTCAGTATTACCTGCCATACCTGCAACTGCTATTGAAACAGCAGATTAAGGAGCAGATACTCAGGCAAGCAGTGGCACTGAGAAGTTATTCGTATGCTGTGTTTTTTACTTCATATTATCCTGTACGCTGGTCTGTAGCGCTTAAATCATACTTCATCCTTTTGCTCTGTTCAAGTCTGACCCCAGTTTTTAAATGGAAAAATATATTAAGAGAGTCATAATCATAATGCTCCCTCTGGTTCCATTAGCTTTGGAAGAACTGCAGTTCATACATTATATGTGACCAAATTAAAAGGCCCAAGTTTTTCGAATTCAATTCCTGGCTTACAGAGGCTGGGTATAATTATTTCTTCTAGGGTATTGCATTATACTATAATTTGCAAAATGGTCCAAAAGCCTTCCAAATGTGCCAGCAGAATCAAAAACTCTAGCACTTTACAGTCAAGAGCAGAGCTGCTGCTCTGCTTGTTTCAGCATGGGTAGAAAATGAGATAATGAAGGTGGAATTAACTCCCTCATCCCCAAATTAGGGGGTTCTAGTAATATATGAAAATAAACACTGAGTTTGAAACATAAACATATTAACCTAATTTCATCGAAAGTCATGAACATAGTATCAAGTTACATATGAAGTAATTACTCGTAAGTGTGCAACTTGAAATGCTGAAGAGGTTCTACATAACATCTTCATACTGAGATTCAGTTTCCCCTGCAGCCTTTCTGTTCTTCTTTACATGTAAAATTAGGTACCATTGAGTCACAACTGTCTCAGTGGACAGAAAACATCTTACTGTAACAAAAAGTGCCCTCATATAAAGCATTTTAATAATGTCACCATTTCAGCTGTCTAACATTCATCTTGACATTTATAAGGTGACTTTAGTTGCATTTCTGTAATTTGATTGACTAATGAACTTGATAATGAACTAATAACAATGATAGCTGAGATCAAACCCAATTATCTGAATCATATCTTCAACTTACATTTATGTCGCAAATTCCTATGAAAGTTTGATGGTTCTGAATAGTTTTCTGGTCTGTTTAAAACCTGGCTGGGTAATGGGTATTACAAAAGCAAAAATTAGAAAGGAAAATTCATATCAAATAGTTGTAGGATTTGCGCACCTGGGCTCACCATTCACTTCGTACAGATTGGGGGCATCTTGTTCTTCACCACGGGCATTATTTTAATAGCTTACAATAAAGCTCAATAGTTTTTCTGCTCCCAGATTAAATTGTGCTTTCTTGAGATCGGATTAATTCAGTGAATTGCCATTTTCAAGAGATTGGTTGAAATGGAAAACTATTATGAAATAGTATCAAAGAAAAATACCAGAAAAGAAAATTTAACTTTTTTTCTTTGACTTGTCAAACCAATTACTTAACCTCTTATTCCAGGAATTTTTGATGCAGTTTCAAAGCTTCCCATTATATCCATAAAATGATGCCAATTATTCTCCATTTTTCCTTTTACTGGATATAGAAAATAAGTACTCTGGGAAGCATATCATACTTCAGACTTCATGCACGGAAATATATAATTTGATTGATATTTTCTGTTAATGTTCTGAGTTCATACAGTACATACTCTGCAAGTATCATTTAAAGGATGCCCTGATCTGCAAAATTAAAACAAGTCACTGCAGTGAGTTGCTGTTACTCATTCTTTTTCTTGGTATAGCATGGCTAAAATCAACATTGCAATATAATGTATCTATGCTCTTGAATCTGTTTATTCAAATAGACCTATTTTCTTTTTTTCCTTTGGAAGTGTTGGAAACTAAATATATCGATATTATAATCTAAAGAAATGCAGTTGTTTTTAATAATTCAAAGAACCTTGATGTCTCTTCAACAGTTCCCTCAAGCTCTTTTTCTTTCCCCTTTTGCCTCTTGCCTTTAAATTTGGGAGTCTGTAATTCTCTAAAAGTTTCACTTTTTTAGCTTTGAAGCACATTGATTCTAAAATGTGTAGAAAAGCGAAGAATAGGGAGATTTGAATCACCAAAGAGGTTTATTTGTTTGTTTGCTTGCTTGTTTAACTCAGAATAGTTGTCTTCTTCATCTGAATGAGTCATCTGGACTCCTTTCTAAGAACTGAAGATCCAGTCATCGGGTTCTATGGCAGGACAGGCAGACCATGCCCTGAAAGTGCGTTTCCTCTCAGGTGAATATAAAAGGAGTTTGGGATGAGTTGGTCTAGCAGAGACCTGTTGCTGTTGCCATCCAAAACTAGGGGAAATGAAGCCCTCCCAGAGCCTCTATCTGTAAATAAGCTATAGAAGAGCCACAGGAAACTTCAGCTCTGGCTATGAAGAGAGATCAGCCTGCTTCAAAAAAACCCTAAAAACCAAAACACATGAGGAGATTTGTTTCTGATGAGGCAACCTAGAAACAGTAATGCTATCAGGCATCTGGCATTTGGTTCCTATTACAGGGAACAATAAGGACACGACAAAGCTACAACCAAGAGAAATAAATTTCCTTACAGGAAGTGTACTGGATCTCTTTTTAATTACTTCTGTTTCAAATGCTTTCATTTTATGACTTTGAAAATATGTGCTTCATTTTTATACTACAGTGGGTGATCATGCACCTATCTGTACTGGCAACTAGAGTGTTATTTAGAGTACTTTTTTCAAGGGGGGGGAACCCCCAAGACTTCACAGTATTTTGGTATAGTTAAAGTTACGTTAGTATTCTGATTCATATTGTCAGTTTATAGAATAGTCTCTATTGGGACAGAATTTTTAGGGGATTCCCCCAACCCAATTTCATGATTATACTGGAATACAGCTGCTTTATTGTAACCACCCTCATTCTTCTTGTACCTAACTTTGCCCCAGAGGTGCAGTAGCTGCCTCAACCAACCAGATATACCCATGACTTGGAATGTTATTTATAGGGCTGAGTGGAGATTTTCTGAATATACTGGTTTATAATAAAATATTTATTAGTCAAAAAAAAGAAAATTGCTTTTGCAGGAATATTTGTGTCACTTTGGACAAGAATGAAATGCTTGACCGAAACCACCTGGCCTTCTCCCAAGGATCCAACAGCCTAGTAGTCACAGCTCTGTGGTGTGATGGAGAAAACTAAAGCCCAAATCTGCACTCTGCCCACTGCTGACCAACACCTGTGTTGGAGTCACACCTCTTTTGCAATTGCCCTGCCATCTGGTCTAATGGATACTGAGGAAAAGGTCTCATTCCCTCCAGTTGTACCTATTCCATTTTATATAAATAGTTAATCAGTCTTTGAAATAAAGACTTGAGCCTTGACTCCCACATCTCATGTGAACACCGGAGCAATCAGGGTACTTAGCCAGTCTCTGACCCAATGAATATTTCACTTATACAAGGTGGAACTGCTCCAACAGAAGAAGTAAACAGAAGAACAAGAAGGAGACTGAAAGGCTGCTCATTAGTTGAATACTATCCGTCCGGGGACCAGATAAATAAAACTGTTTCATGAAAAATATAGATTATGACAAGGTGTATATACATATATATCTATATGTCAAGAGGAAGAAGAGGGTAGGGTAGATTCAGTTTAATCCTAGCTTTGAAGATTTGAAAGATAAATTACAAATAATTTCAATTGTAAATTTTTAATGAGACAAGTTTGGAAAAGTAATCTGAAAAGTCAGAAAACTCACCAGTTTCTTACTGAGACCTGCAACAGACCAGTAGAGGGTGATTGAATTTAGATCTACTCCAGACACTTGCCATTTAAGTTAGTAATTTGCAGTCATAACGTTTTTGTCTCTACATGGACTGACAACAGAATGGAACAGGATGGGACACACACCTTTGTATGGATATTATTTATGGTTTTGGCAGCGACTAAAGAAGGGTTAAAATTTCATATTCTTTTCCAGTCTCTGAAAAGGAAGTGCCATTTTGCTTCAATGGCTCCTTCTTCCTATTGGTTCCTGAACTCTTTTTGGCAGTTCCTTCAGTCTCTTTTTACGCAGTCCTCTTCTCCACTTCTCATTGCCATCACCACCTCATACTCCTCTACAGATCACTGCTCTACAGGCTTCTGAGACTCTGACCCCAGTAAATCTCCATCACTGGTTTAAACTGCCAGTCTCCCATTTGCCCACTGGGTTGTCTTTTTCGTCCATGCTTTCCAATTCCACTGTGCTTTCTGGTTCATTATCTTTGTCCACTGATGGGGTAGATGCCTGAGGAACCATATAAGCACTGAGCAAGATTGCAGTCAACCCACAAATTTCCCAGTAAAATATTCTCAGTTCTCAGTACTTCTCAGCCTAGAATTCCATGTATCTTATCGGGAATCAATGGATTTCACATAGAACAGGATCAGCTTCAAGATCAACCTCATCTTTTCTGAAGTGTAGATCATCATAAAGAAAGTTCAGCTTTGTCCTTGTGTCCTCAGGTTGCAAGAAGATGCTCACTGATTTTGTGGAGGTAGGTCTTGTGGAGTCTTGGCAATCCTGGGAGCTGTCAGACATGAGCACACTAGAGAAAGCAGATTCCCCACAGTTTTTAGTTTCAAAATGCAAATTTCTCTACTGAACATGAGTAATCTGTGATTTTATAAGAACTTACAAGTCTTACAAGAAGGAAAAAACTGACTGTCTGAATCTTTCTTTCCATGCAAGACAGACAATTTCAGCCCAAACTGCTAGAGATGTGCAAAGCTAAAAGTAACTGGAAAAAAAAATCTATAAGGGAAAGTATCATCTGACTCTCGTAACTGTGCTTCTCTCTGCCTGGCCTCACAAACATCTGCTGACCTATAGGGCACACTTGTAGCACAATGAATTAGGTACCCCTGTGTTCTCATCAAACCAGGTATTTGAAATGTTGTATACCTGTTTGCTATAGACAAAACCAACCACCATGGTAGGAATGCAGATTACTTCCTTCTATTGACATATGAGTGAGTGTCGGATGCATGCAACTGCTTGACTTTCTCCTGCCACTCCTGTGATCTGTCTTCTTTCTGCTCTAGTGTCTCAAAGCTGAGGAATGATGCAAGTCCCTTGGCAGGGATTTAAGGCTCTGTCACCAAGGTCCATCCTTCAGCTTGTTATATAGGAGGCCACTTGAATCTTAGAACTGGTCATAGCAGGTTTTGCATTCTGGCCACTTTAGTTGGTGTTTCATAGATGGGAGGCTACACCTAACCCTGTGTTCCTACAAAACATCATCTCCTGAGCCTGGGGCTAATACGGAATCAAGCTTGAAACCAAGGAACTTCAGCAGATCCAGCAACCCCTCATTACTGTTGACCTGCTCTGCATCAGCAGACTTAATGTACTGATAGTCTAGACCATTTCTAAGAAATGAAGACACAGACATGGTGTGCTAGGGATTATGCTGATGTTGTGAAGAAGCATAATACATTTATCCTGAAAAAAATATCACAGCTAATAACTGGTACATTTTCAGGAGGAAGGGGGAGAATTTCAATGATTTTCATCACAAATTTTGCAATACTGTTCTCTCGGCTTTCTGAAGAGTTTTTTCTAACATGTTCTCATCCCTCATATCCCTGCAATAACTCTATTAATCTTTTTTGTAAAGCCTTATATCATTTCAGGTAAAGTCAGTTTCCATGAGTGTGCCCCGAATTACTGTTTATTGCAACCTGCATATCAAAGCCATGCAGCTAACAGAATGCTGTGCTTGCTTTTAGCCCTTCTTCCATACACACAATTGTGTGTGGAGAAGCAGTAATTTAAGGACACAATGGATTTTTGTGTACTTGTACAGAAGCTTGTACAGCTAGCTAGTAAACTGAAAGCTTTAAACTATGTATGACTTGTTTAAATTAATCACTCCAGCAGTCTTCAGGACATATGTTTATTACAATGGGAAATCAAAATATATTAAATTACTGCCAGTATGAAACACTGTTTGCAGTCCATGGCCTGATAATATTTCCTTTGGTTTCAAAAAAATAGAAATGCAGCAAAGACCGAGCCGAATTCACCCAACAGTTCAGTGGGTCTCAACCTCAGATTTACAATCAGCAGTGTTCTACCAAGGACGATGTGGTTTAAACCCAGCCAGCCAGCTTGTGCACTCACTCCCAGTGAGTGGTGCCAGGCTGGAAGCAGACGAGGCCTGGAGGGACGGGGAGGAGAATAGAAAGAATGCAACTCCCCTGGGTTGAGACAAGAATGTACAACACAAGTCACCACTGCTACCACCAACAACAACAATGATAAGAGAAAATAACAAGGGAAGAGATTACAATACCGCCCACTGAAAACCGAGTCTGACCCAGAAGACCCTGCGTCCTTCCGGGTAACTCCCAGTTACATCCTGGGCATGACGTGCTGTGGTATGGAATACTTCTTTGGTCAGTTTGGGTCAGGTGTCCTGCCTCTGCTTCCTCCTGGCTTCCCCTCCTCCCTGGCAGAGCATGAGGCTCACTTAAGTCCTTGGCCAAACCAGAACATCATTGTTATCAGCTCTGTTCCCAGGCTGGAAGTCAAAACACAGCACTGCGCCAGCTACCAAGAAGGAGAAAAATGCTACTGCTAAACCCAGGACAGAAGAATATGTCCCACACCTTTAATTTTGTTTGATATTAGCAGTTAGCTAATATTCCATATGAAAAGATATCACTACATTAATACAAATATGCTGCATGAAAAAAGACAGAGAAAGCAAGTAAGTTACCAGAAGTAAGGAAAAAAAAGAAGCAGAACATTTATTCTTCAGCTTTGGACAGTGATGGCTTACTACATTTATGAATTATTCTTTACAGTTTTTTATCACTTTCTGCCCCAGAAGCTAAATTAGTTTTACAACTATTAATTGAATTGTCTAACTTCACTACACACTGGGAGATAGAAAGGATTATTAACTCCACTATATAGATAAGGAAACTGAGACAGGCAAAGGAAATGATTAGCTGGAGGTCACCCAGGGAATCAGAGATAGATAAATCCCAGATCTCTCCATCCAATGCATTAAGTGCTGAACATTGTTCCTTCTCCACACAAACAGCCATTGGAAATGAGACACATTTCAAAGAGAAACAATTAAAGCAACATTTCATCAAAGATAAAAGCTTCTGAAATTTCTCCTATGCTGGTGATCCCCAAAGTTGTTCTCTTTTGTCTCTGTCACATTGTTTTAAGTGGAGATTATCCCTCCTTCCTTGCTTCCTGTACCATTAGGCCAGCATGTGCAGCACATGCACTCACATCAGTCCTGCAGGCCTCCTGCAAATATCTGCCCTACCTACGTACTGTATGCTGCTTTGTATGCACGTAGTAACTTTTTCACTGTAATAACTACAAAAGCTGATCGTTCCCTAGCGCTCATGGTATGTGAAATATAGGATGTAGGATGTTTTCTGTTGAAGAAGCTACTGGGCAAGTTCATAAATAAATTGTGCAAGGTTGAACTTTCTGAGAGGATGGGGGTGGGTGTAACAGTAAAGCAAATGCCTCATAGTTCTGAGATTTGTTTGTCCTGACCTCACTAATGCTCTGGGAGTCTAGGAAAGCATGAGCATACTCATCTTGCACAGCACATTTATAATTTCACCTATCACCACTCTAAATAAGGTATTTGATTCAACTAATTAAAGTGGTGTTTATTAGCTGACAGCCATTAATAAGTGAGCTGGTTAAACACTTTGCCATACTGTATCAATCAACAGATTAGTTTTTTCTTTGTTTTACTTAAAGCCTACCTTTGTTATAATTACCTTAGTACTTAGATCTAATCATGAGTTCTTGTAAACCAACATATTGCTGCTAATTTCCACAGGAAAAACACCAGGATCTCTATGAAGATCATTTTATAGAGCACTGTATGTGAGCAAAACAGGTCTCTATAAGATTACGGTTTTGCAGCAACTTTAGTTTCTGGCTTTAGCATTTCTCTGCTTAGTTTTGTCACTACTTGTATACAAATTATTTGCTCCTTTTCAGAGTGAATGAGGTCTCATGATGGGGCAGATATGTACTACTAAAGAAGAAAACAGAATTATTGCACAGCAAACATTAGGGCAGAAGTGCAGATTTATACAAAACAAAACAAAATGCTTCAAGAGGTTGCATTAACTATTCAAAAAATATTGAGATACAACATTTTCATTGCTAAAAATCTTTCTTTAGTTCTCTTGCACAAGTTTGTAAAATAATTTCTAAATAACAGCATGGGTCAAAAATCAAAGTTTTTTTTAATAGTTCTTAATGACTTCGATTTCAGTGCAGAATTAGCCTTCAGAATTTTCTCAAGTTTAATAAACAGTCTGAAATGGTTTCAGTGGCATCACTGGGAATACAATCTGAGGAAGGACTTTATTGGCAGCACTTGAAGTCTGAAGCTTCAAAAAACAATCTGGAATCAAAGAAAATGCAGTTAGATAAAATTAAAAATACTTACTCATCATTACTGACACTGCAATGGTTTTCTCTGTCCATTACTTTTTATAATTATACACAGTTTTCTGTTGTATAGCTCTAACGTCTCTTACAAGGCCTAGAACGTTCCAATTTACCGATGGCATTCCTTAGTTAAAAGGTATAATGAGTTAAATTTTAATATTTGGGCTTGATACAGGAAGATTATTTGTCTTGCTTGTGAGGTGAATACTCCTCTTATTTATTTCTATTGGTTCTTGTGGTCATTTACATTTTCTTGGAGCAAACTAGAATGTGTAAAGAATGATAGAAAATATTTGAAAAATAGCTGAAATTATATTATAACATTTTATAAGGGTATCTAAGAAACAGAATTTATAATGAAAGTCTTTTGTCTTCTCAGTGACAGCTATAATAGCCTTTCTTAAACTCAAACCCACATGTTTAGACTACAGCTCTAGGCTATTAAACACCTGTGACCTCCCCCCATGAGCTGCTGAAGATCTTTGGAAATTACTCTATACCTAATGGGAACTGTGGAGTCAAGCCAAACCAAACCAAAAGCCACCATCAACCAACCAACCAACCAATCAAACAACCCCCCCAACACAACTAATTCCAGAACTCTGGAATGAAGCACTGCCTGCCTTCCAGGGGGCATTGCCCCTGATCTTCTAGGCTGGAAGAGGGAACACTGGCTCAGGAGCCCAGAGAAATTCCTCCACCATGGTATTCTATGGAGCCCAAATTTGCTTGGTGTGTCATCTCATTGAATGCCTAGGGCTCTGTAAGAGTACTGGATTGTCATGACTGCACACTGATTAATTTTCAAACTCATATCCAGAAATTCCTGTCATTCTTTTCTTCGCCTCCTGAGTCCCAGAGCAGAGGCGTGGTCTGCTCCAGCTCCATTTTGGATGCCAAGAAGAACTGAATGTTCTGCCACAAAATCAAGGCTACAACTGCATCTATATTAGTGTTGTGTTTTGAGGCAATGCAAATCCTGACAGTCCTCATCGGTGCAGTCTACAGAACAGGATTTATACTAACTTTCAGAGAAATTTCCTTCCAGAGAAATCTAACCTTGTGGCTGTGCTCCACATGGCCACCAATGGCACTTCAGTC